TTTTTCGCTTGTCCACCAAACCTAACTTTTTCACTTCCTTTGTAAAAAAAAATCCTTCGTAAAAAAATCCATCAAGTCCAGAAGCCATGTGGTTATCTCTAGTACTTCCTCTCCATCAGCCACTAAGGTGACCCAGGCATCAAAATATCAATGGCAGCTGATTTTTCATTTAAAACATACAGATCCAACCGTCCCTCAGCAACAGCTTGTTTTAATACATCAGCACCAAATCCCCACTTAGTGCCAGTGTCACTTTCTGACTCCCATTTCAACATACAAGTCATAGATAACTTAATTTCCCCCAGACACTACTTTTATTAGGTCATTATGTCTGCACCTGCCTATTTATTAAGAACAAACTCTGCAACCTGAGAACCCAAGATTCAAACAGAGTAGCCTTTTTTCATGTTTCCTTTGACGGCATTTACCCTTTTGATTTAGCTGCTTCTCCCCTTCATCTGAGTAACCCTTCATCCTTCAACAGCCCACTTTAATGTCACTTAGTCTATGAAGCCTTTTCTGAACTAATTAATCATTTCGCCCTCTGTGGTTTATAGCATCCATCATACAGTTAGCTTTTTATCTGTCATTCTCTGGTACTTTCTCTTTCACTTTTAAGGTTAGGGACTAGGCTTTAGTCATATGTTTATTCCCTAAACACAGTACAATATCTGCTTTAAAGTATGAGTTTAATACAAATTGGTTGAGAGAATGTATGAATGAATAAATTAATAAAATAACAGTGGCTATTTTTCCATGTGTTATTCTTAACTGTGTGCATTTGCTCCAACTTTGTTTACTTTTCTGAAAAACTTCCATTATTCTCCAGAAGTTACATTTAATATATTTCTGAAGAATAGTTCAATGCCATATTATATGCTCAACATTATTAGAACTGTTTAAATATATTGAACAACTCCAAGGAGTCTTTATTAGAGTGGTAGGATTTATTGTTACTAATAGTAAATTTGAAATAGATGCTCCATTTTACCTTACTGTGCTTTTTGAAAGTAGAATAGTACAGAGTGTTCTTAAAATATGAAGTAGAATAAAAACTGTTGAATGTGCACCCTAAGTATGTTATCCCCCTCCACACACACTCACACACTCACAAATCAAATCAAAATCTATCCATAATAAATTTAAAAAATATATTTGTTGATTTTTTACAGAGATAAAGGGAGAGGGAGAGTTAGAAACATCAATGAGAGAGAAACATCAATCAGCTGCCTCATGCACACCCCCTACTGGGGATGTGCCTGCAACCAAGGTATATGCCCTTGACTGGAATTGAACCTGGGACCCTTGAGTCCATAGGCCGACACTCTATCCACTGAGCCAAACTGGCTAGGGCTCCATAAATAATTTTATTATTTTTATACTAGAAGCCCAGTGCATGAATTTGTGCATTTGTGGGGTGTGGCTGGGCCTATTGGGAGAAGGAGATGGAGGAGATGGTGGGAGGAGGAGATGATGGGAGGTTGCCCTCCCAACTCCAATCAGGGTCAGGTCAAGATTGGGCCTGCTGGGGGAAAGGGCTGCTGGTGATTGGGCCCTACCCCTAATTGGGGTTGGTGGGCTGATTGGGGCAGAGCTGGCCATGGGGAGAGGTCATGGGTGATTGGTTGGCTGGTCCTGCCCCTGATGGATTGGGGGACTGAATTGGGGTGGGACAGGGTGGGGGAGGGGCTGCAGGAGGTTGGAGGGCTGGCCCTGCTCCCTATTGGGGTGGGGGGTGAGATCATGAGCCGGCCTACTGTTGTGGGGCGGGCTAATTGGGGGTGGGGCTGGCTAGGGGGAAGGCTGGTGGCCAGCTCTTGATCAGGGTGGGAGAGTAAATCAGGGACAGGCAGGCAGGGAGGAGGGTCCTTGAGGTTGGCCAGCTGGCCCCATCCCCTGATTGGCAAGTTCACTGGCCACAGTGGATGTCATAGCAACTGGTCGTTATGATCATTATGGCTGGTACGGTCGCTGGCTTTTTTGTATATAGGTATTTGTTATATATATTTATGTATTTACAAAATAATAATTCTATTATTTCCCTCAAAATTCTTTAGCATTTCTAGTCTGTAAGAAGAAATTATGATTTTTTTTCGCTGTGGCTAATTATTTTATTTTATTTCATCTCACATTACAGCCACAATTTACTTAACTTTATTTTTAAACTTTCATAGTCTCAGGTCCACAGTAGGCAATGGATCAGTACTTGGTAGTTTTTGCTGTTATTATTATTATTGATGATAACGAGGAGGAGGAGGGTCCCAGCCAGGTACTGATAGGCTAAGACCATTTATTGTGATGCAGGTCCTTATAAAAAAATAGCACCTTCTCTTTTGGATGCCCTTTGTATTAGCACTTTTGTTAGATTTGATTTGCCTCTGGCTAGACTTTTCTTTTTTCCTTCTTAAGGTATTCTCTTCTCTTAGTTTTGTGAGTGCTCTTCTGACAGGCATTTCCTCCTCTCCTTTCTTTCTCTCTAAATGCTATTTTTTTTTCTTAATTACACAATATCATTCTCTCCAACAATGTAGATCATTATATATATTATAGGCATATATTATATATATATATATTTGCTAATTGATGTAACACTACTAAATTTAGACACTGCTTCTTGAAATTCTAATCACTAGGCAAGAGTTTGTTTTTTTCTCCAGATGCATGAAGTGACATATCACATATAACTTTCATTTGTTTAAACAAGAAAGTTTCATTTTTGAAATTTACCTAAGATTTTATAATTATAAATTCAATTACTTTATACCACTTAAAATTACATACATAAAACCATTATATGTTTACTAAATTTTAATATTGATCAATATATATTTATTGTTGCTAACTTAATAATTATGATTAAATAAAGCATCACTTTAAGTTCATTGTACACTGTGTTTTTTTATGAGTGACATAATGGTATGGGCAATCACTATTTGTAGACTTGAATATTTTATCTTCTCAACAAAAATCACCTCTTCAATTAGTACTTCTTATAAAAAATGTTTATTGGTTAAGTTAAAATATAATTATACGTTTCAGGATTCCTGCCATGAATTCCAACATCAAATAATTTTAATGTGTATTTTGAAATTGAGTAACAAGATTGCATAATTGCTTAAAAGAAGCACTAACATTTTTTATTTTGGAAATACATGATTTTCTCTTAATTTTTTAACTTTGCTTTATAATGCACTTAAAATGAGCAATGTAGATTCCAGCCTTTTTGTTCTTAAAATTTTAAATCACAAAGTCCAACTTTATACTCTTTAATTTGTCTTAGATGAAGAATTTAAGTTGAGAAAAAATACAGTATTAGTTTTTGTCATATTTGTCAATTCATTCATTGTAAGTTTGAACTTCTCATTGTGGCTTCTTTTTTAATTTTTAATTTTTTAAATGTTTTTATTGATTTCAGAGAGGAAGGGAGAGAGAGATAGAAACATCAAAAATGAGAGAGAATCATTGATTGGCTGCCTCCTGTATGCCCCATACTGGGGATTGAACCAGCATGCCAGGCATGTGCTCTTTCTGGGAATCAAACCATGACCTCCTGGTTCATAGGTCAACATTCAATTACCAAGTAACACCAGCTGGAATCACTGTGCCTCTTATGGTCTGGAGCAATCTTCTGGAACTCAGAGTGACTTTGGGTTCAGTCATTGCTTCATTGTCCTCTAATGGAGCACAGATCATTGATGTGAAACTATTAGGACAAAAAGGACTGAAGAAATTAGATACATAGTCAATAGACTATAAAATAAGCTATTAAAAAGTAAATCTTACGGTATATAGTTGGATTGCTAATTACTTGAATCATTGATTAAACATGCTAAATCACTGAACCAATGATGAACAAAAATGTTTCTTTATAGCCAGATTTAAAGTAACACACACATATGCCCAATTAACTATTGTTTTTAGCATATTTAGTTTCCATTTCTATTTTTTTAAAGTCCAGGATCAGTGTACTCTCAGCTTGAAATTACAACTCACTCAGAAATAACACACTGTTTATCTGTCTGCTGGCTCAAAACCAGGAGGCTCCAGGAATGAATTCAGAATTAGCTAGAGCAATTTAAGTGTTGCACTCTTTAATCTCTGTAATGATACTCAGGTCCCAATTATCTAGGGGCTATTTAGCCCTTATTATCTCTTGCTACTTCTTTTTTCTTTCCTTCTTCCCCCAATGAAGGCAGGAGGCCAGGCAGAGGAATAGCTAGCAGCATTTTTTTTTTTTAACAAAACCCAAGCTTCTTCAAATCAAGCTTCATAAAATAAAAACACCAGAGATGCAATTTTTCTTTACAGTTTATTCCTAACATAACAAATCAGCTTTTATTACAGCAAATATTAATGTCTATGAATTATGCCCATTATTCTGACCTCACATATGCATTATACAATCCACAGATATTATAGTTTCATGTCAATAATGTCTTTTATTATTTATTGTTGTCTCCTGAAACAAATGTGTATGTGTAAGTGTGTGTGTGTGTGTGTGTGTGTGTGTGTGTGTGTGTGTGTGTGAGAGAGAGAGAGAGAGAGAGAGAGAGAGAGAGAGAGAGAGAGAGAGAGACTGAGCTGTTCAAAGGTACTAGAAATAAATAGTATAAATAGCAAAATAGCACTGGAACCCTAAAGTTTAGTTAATATTGAACTAAACTAAGAAGGTTATTTGAGACTGGGATTGTAGTCTTGACCATGCAGAATGCACGACGAATAAGCTTAGTCAGTTTCACTATGTGCCCACTGCGCAGAGCCCACTGTTTCTATCTATTTGTGTAGCTCATTGATTTTGTTTCATGTGCTCAGATCAACCACTTTCATTTTAGACTAACTTAAGGTGTATTTTATTTACTGAGTTCTCTTTAGAGTTAAGTCTTTCCACGTAGGCTGATGAACATCATCAATTAAGAAACACAGGTTCTGTTCATGTTGTCACTCACATTCTGTCGTAACCATGAATCACCTATGATAATGCCCTGTCCGCTGTATTGCAGGAAAAACAGAGGTTTCTGACGGATGTTCTGCACGAAGTGATGCTGCTTGATGGTTTGGCCAGTTCCCATCCAGTATCACAGGAAGTGCTACAGGCAACCGACATTGACAGGGTGTTTGACTGGATCGCATATAAAAAGGTGGGAATAGATAAAACACAAGTGCCAACTGGATATTTCACTAATCTGAGGAAGCCAAGCTATTTCATGCTACATGTATTATATTTTTCTCTTCTTCCAGCTCATAGAAATAAGACTGTGAGTTAGAAAACAGAGTTACTAGGTTCGTGTTATTTTATGAATTAGAACTTTGTTTTACAAATCAGTAAAATGGAGATGAATGTTTGCCAAATGCATAGAAATATTGGAACTATTAATGAATAAATGTTTGGAGACTCAATAAGAAATTGCTGCAGAAATGGAGTTATGTAAATGTCAGTTCTAATGTTATTAATAAGAGAACTGACCTATACTAGTATACTGACAAATAGTTTTTTCTTGAATGTCCTTTAAAAACATACTTATTTGGATTGCAGATGCCAATGGGGGTGTAGACAGGGACATGGCATATATTTTAAAAACAATGTTTAAGGGAGATTTGGGGGATTAAGCATGTTTCTTGGATAAAGCATAATAAATGAAAATTTAAAGACAACTTGGAATGGCAGAGATTTTGCACAAATGATCAGACATTAAAATATGATACACTATGAACTTGGATTAGGATTTTCCTTATTCCCCTTCTTTTAGTTCTCATTTTAGTAGAGCATGTATATCTCATTGTTTAACACTTAGTAGTCATTTAATAATTATTAAAATAATATTAAAGTCTACTTTATTATTGGCCTCTTGACTTGCATTTATAGGATTTCTATGTACTTTATTGATTTAATAATGTTTCCAGTTTTTAAAAGTGTTAAAAACAAGATACTCTTTTTTTTCTTAAAAACAAGATATTTCTAATTATAAGTAAAGATCAAATAATGATTCATCAGAATTCTTTGGTGCAGTAATTTAGATATATGGTTTTGCATTCTGGTATGACTATCTCAATGATTAGTTAATACTCTATGCTATAAAATGTAAGGCTATACATAGTGCTAGAAAATATCCGTTCAAGATACTGATCATCACATTGGCTCCAAAAGAGAATTTTTGATATTTTATAAAAATAAGTGAAAGTGTAGAATTATATTTAAAATCTATTAATTTTTATATATGAATTTTTGGGCTAGATTTTGCTGGATATACACTCAGTTACTTATAGTGTATTAATTCTTGAAATATAATGCAAAAAGTAATTTAAGATAGCTTGAGATGAGTTTAGAGACATCTCTGTAGTTATTTCTCACCTACCACCAATTTTATGATTATTTGTATATAAGAACTTACTTCAGGATGAATATTAAAAAAATATTATTTTGAGTAAATATGTTACAATATGCTTTATAAATAACATCTATTCCAGCTTTATTATATTTGAGTAATTATAAATTTATTCAAGAAGTATTATTTTACACTCTATATTTTGGTGCAAAGACTTGCCATTTTATAAATGTGACAAGTAAACTTTGCCATGATTCTTGGAACCACGATTATAAATACTACTGGATACTTGTTTCTAGCCAGGTTTTCTTTCAACTTTGTTGAGGAAACAACTGACAAATGTAATTATATAATACATATTTAAGATGTACAATGTGATGATATACATTGTGGGATGATTACTAAGATCAAGATAATTAAAATACATCCATCACCTCACATAGTTAACTTTTCTTTTGTGGTGAGAATACCCATGATTGACTTAGCAATTTTCAAGTATGTGATACCATATTATTAACTACTAGATGCTCGATGCACAAAATTCATGCAAGAGTAGGCTTTTGCAGCCCCTGCTGCCTTGGCCCTCGCAGCCCCTGCTCTTCAGCTCTCGCAGCCTCAGCTTTGTCCAGAAGGTCATCCAGATGGTTGTTTAGCTGTTCAGCTGTTCGGTTGATTTACATATTACACTTTTATTATTATTAGCGATAGTCACCATGATGGACATTAGGTCATCAGAACATATTCTTCTTACTCCTAAAAGTTTGTACCCTTGGACATATATCACCCCATTTCTCTCTTTCAATTGACTATGGCAATCACAATTGTATTCTTTATTTCTATGAACTTGGCTTCAAAAAAAATTCCACATAGAAGCAATACCATATAATAGCTGTCTTCCTCTGTCTGGCTTATTTTACTTAGCATATTAGCCTCCAATTTTATTCATGCTGTAAATGGCAGGATTTCCTTTTTATGGCTTAATAATATTCCCTTATAAATATATTTTTTTCTGTATAATTAATTAATTCATTGAAAGACTGTTTCTATTGTATTTTGCCAATTGTGAATCAATGCTAAAAGGAACATGGTTTGTAGATATATATATTTTTAATAGACTGATTTCAGCTCCTTTTGATATACCCCTGAGTAGGATTGTTAAATTATATTTTTAATTTCTTGAGGAACTTTCATATTGTTTTCCATAATGGCTGTCCCAATTTACATTCTTAGCAGCACTGTATAGGGTGCCTTTTACTTCACATCCTTGCTGACATTTGTAATCTCTTGGCTTTTCATAGTGGGCATAAGATGTTGGCTCATTATGGTTTTGATTGCATTTTCCTTAAAATTAGTGATGTTGAGCCTCTTTTCATATACCTGTTGGCTATTGTATGTCTTCTTTTCAGGTTCTTTGCCCATTTCTAATTGGATTACTTGTTATTTTGCTATTGAGTTATATGAGTATTTTATATATTTCAGATTTTAACCCCATATCAGATATATGGTTTGCAATTTTTTTTTCTTCCCATTTCATAGTTTGCCTTTTGAGTTTATTGATTGTTTCTGTTGTTGGGCCAAGGCTCTTTAGTTTGATGTAGTCCTATTTGTTTTTTGTTTGTTTGTTTGTTTGTTTTTATTTTTTTTAGCTCTTGTTGCCTGTGCTTTTGGTATCTTATCTAATCACTAGCCCTGTGCAGGAATCCATGCACCAGTAACTTGCTGCTACCCTCCAGTAGCTCTCTGTCCACTGCTTCCCCTGCTATTGTTCCCCCCTCATCCCCCATGGCTTGCTGCCCTGCCCCCTCCTGTAGCACTTCACCGCTCTCTTGTAGCTTGCTGCCCCATTCTCCTAGTGATCCAGTCATTACGTGGTCTGTCATTATGCTTCATGATGCAAGGACCATTTGCATATTACATCTTTATTATATTGGCTTGTTAAGACCAATGTTAAGGATCTCTTCCCCTTTGTTTTCTTGTTGGAGTTTTATGGTTTCAGGCTTATACTTAAGTCTCTGATTCATTTTGACTGAATTTTTTTTTTTTTGAGTAGTATATGAAAGGAGTCCAGTTTAACTCTCTTGCATGTGGATATTGTTTCACACCACCATTTATAGAAGAGAGTATCATTTCACCATATGAGTTCTTGGTGCTCTTGTCAAAAAGTAGTTGACCATATATTCCTGGATTTATATCATTGCTCTCTATTTCATTCTACTGGTTCTATGTACATTTTTTTTTTTGCAAGTACCATGCTTTATGGTGTAAGGACTGTTATTTATTACAATAGCCTTATAATATAGCTTAAAATTAGGGAGTCTGATAGCTTAGTTGTTTCTCAGGATTTTATGATTGCTTTGGCTATTTGAGGTCCTCTCTGGTCCCACATCAATTTTAGGATAAGTCACTGGAGTTTTGATAGGGGTTTCATTGAATTTGTGGATCGCTTTGTGTTGTCTGGATATTTTAACAATATTATTTCTTCTCATTCAAGAACATGGATATATTTCCCTTTATTTGTGTCTTCCTCAATTTCTTTCATCAGTGTCATAGTTTTTCAGTATATAAGTCTTTCACCTCCTAAATTTATTCATAAGTATTTTATTGCTTTGATGATTTTGTAAAAAGGATTGCTTTCTTAATTTCTCTTTTATATAATTCATTGCTAATGTATAAAAACCCTAAGATTTGTTTGTTTAATCAACTGATTTTGTACCCTTCAATTTTATTCAATTAATTTATTAGTTGTAATAATTTTTTTGGTGGAATCCTTAAGGTTTTCTGTCATCTACAAAGATAGATGATTTTACTTCTTCCTTTCTGATTTGGATGCCAATGTTTCTTTTTTAAAAAGTAATTAATCAATTAAAAAATTCTTTTTTTTTTCTTAGTAGCTATGGCTAGGACTTTCAGTACTATGATGAATAGAAATGGTGAGATTGGGCAGCCAGGTCTTATTCCTGATCTTAGAAAAGGGTCTTTTGACTTTTCACCATTGAGTGTAATATTAGCTGTGGGTTTGTTTTCATGTCTAGCCACGTAAAGTACTATTCTTATTACATGTTTTCAAGTGATATTAGGAGCTACTCATTGTCAATGAAGACTTCTAAAGAAAAAAATTTTCTTTTTTGAACAGCTATAGTGAGATATAATTAAAATATGGTAAACTGCACATTTAAAAGGTATGATTTGACATGTTTGATATATTATCAAACTTTAATTATACCATACTTTAATTATAATATATATGTATATATATATATAATGAAAGCATCACCATAATCAAGTTAATTAATATATTTATTAGAAATTTGCTCATGCCTCTTTATAATTTCTTTTCTCATCCCTCTTCATGCTTCCATTGATCAACTTTTTCATTATAGATTAAATTTCATGTTCTAGAATTTTATATACATGGAATCATACAGTATCACTCTGTTTTGTTTGCCTTCTTTTACTCCACATAATGATTTTAAGATACATTCACGTTGTCTTATATATGAATATAATACAATTAGTTTATTCACCTCAACATTTGGGTTGTTTCTAGTTTTTACTATTACTAATAATCTTGCTATGAACATTTGTGTATAAGTCATTGCATGTATACTTGCTTTTATTTCTCTTGGGTAAACACCTAGAAGTGGGATGTTCAGATGATATGATAGGTATGCTTAATGTTTTAAGGCTGTTGAATGAACTGTTTTCTAATGTAGTTGTACCATTGTAACATGGCACATACCCATAGACAGTATACAGGGTTCTACTTTCTCCACTTCTTTCCCAACAATAACTAGGTATAATCAGTTCTGTTAGTG